TACTGGTATATAGCTTAATATACTGTTCAAGAAAATAGCAGGCTACAATTAGGGCAGTGTCGTAAAAAGAAGAATGAAGAACTTTCACTCGAGGTTGCACTAACCGTTCCCGTGTTTGCATTAAAATGTCGTTAATGAAAGAAAGATATTAAAGAATTATAATAATTCCTGCCAAATACGAAAATATCATCTAATCTACGCTATGATTACGCGCCATGAAAATACCGCGAGCAACACGAAGGAAAAAATGTATGAAATTGATTCAATTCAACTAAACTATCGAAGAGGAGGAAGAGGAGAGAAGAGCCGGTGGTGGTACATATCTAAACGGCCGGAGCGCGCGTTCGTGAACCCGGGTTCAAGCTTTTACGAGCGTGCTTACAGCTGGATCTGTCGCGATATCGTTTACTAGGAACACCGATGCAATTACACAATGAAGTACTAACGGCAATAGCCGCGATAAACCTGCACGGAACGTTGCGGACGGAAGCGCGACTCCGCTCGGTTCTGGCGTGTATACACATGAACTTCGAACGTATCGCGAGCGAACGAAGCAGCGCAGCGGCGCGTATGGAAACGTTATAAATCACGCAATAAATCAATTATTTATACGCGTTTGCGGTGAGCGTAACGGGTCGAGATCGTGTAGGAGTAAAGGGAAACGTGACTAGAACTACCATGTTATGTGTGCGTTACGGTTCCAGATTAAGCCGGACCTAGTTGCTTTAAGATACTCGTGCATGGGAACGCGCTAACATCAAATGTAATTCACGATCGTGCGTACACTGTCTCCGGAGCCTATTCTTATAATACAATCAATAAAAATTTTGTGCGCAGTGTGATAGGTCGGAGGTCTCATGAATTACACGTTTCGCTTGTGTTTGCATGTTCGCAGGATTATCGGCAAATAGCAACGGTTAATGAGCAGCAATAACTATGGGAAAAGGATTAAGCAAGGATCATCGAAATGCAGTGGACCTACAATTATTTGAGATGAACCAATCTATAGATAAAGTCAAACGTGATAACATAATTTTATGCATCGAATATGGAAGGCGTTTCTCAATTTATATTACTCGTCTTTTATGCATTGACGTTCGATATGGTCTAACGAAATTATCGCGACGACTAATTCTGTTTCCATTTAGGTCGTCGAAATTTAGATTTCCGATATTTCGTTCATAATTTTCTGCCTCCGTATCGAGAGTTCACTAGGTAAGATGGATTTCCAGAGGAGCATTATGTAAACCTCTCGAGTAATTCTCCCAGATGTACGGGACAGGTGAACATTTTCCGCTTTTACGTGATTTACTCGCATCGTTCTCGTTCGAAATCGGAGAACAGACGGGTTAGACTCGAAGTAACCCGTACCTAACGTGGGTAACCCGTTCATGTCACGCGCCGAGGAAACGCTCTCCATTATTTTGCAGGTGTGCATGCAAACACTTCGGATAAAATACGACCGATCCCACGGCGAAAGTACGCGAGTCAATAATACCAGTTATTAAGATACTTCCCACGACGATAAAAGAGCCAATCTCGATTTCACCTAATTCTATTCGGTAACTAATTATTCACGTACCGCGCAAGAAAAACGAATAACTCATAAACGGCTCAATCAAACTAATTGCTGCTAAAAGAGAACAGGTTCCGTCCGCACTTATTCTTCCTTAACGCAGACACTTGTTCCACTTGCGAACAGTTTATTAGTCAATTAATTCTTCTAAGTCTAATTAACAGTCTTCTTTTGTTTCTTATTGTACTTGCATATAAGTCTAATTAACATTCTTCTTTTGTTTCTTATTGCACTTGCATATTGACCTAATAATAGTACGAGAAAATCTATAAAATAATTGTTCGCAACGGAAACAATACATGTACTGTCTTATTCAAAAGATAAAGAGATTCTAGCGTCCCTGTGAACGTCGTGAATTGAACCACGTGGTCACGGGAGTATAAGTAGTACCATAAATACGTAGTAAACATGAATGGCTAAATCTACCAAAAAAAATTACAACTTACGAGCAAAGTAACACGTAATTCGTAGCTACAAACCACCGCTATATTTAATTATAACAGAGTATGTGACAAATGCCATGTCTTCTCGAACAGCCCAAGCTACGGAATCGGAGGATGAACAAAGTGGTCAATAGAAACGAATTAATTCTCGCAAATACGTTGTGAACAGAGGATGTGTACAAATTCGTACAAGAAACGTTCATTTGAAGACTGGGGCAAAAACAAAAAGTCTTTGCCACACTGGGGATCAGCCATCAAATAGATATGTTTTCAGTTTGATGCAAATGAGAAAACCATAGAGTGGGCAGACCAGAAAGGAAAAAGAAAACGATCGATTGAGAAACCTCTCCATATTCTCGAGTTCCCGGTAAATGAAAGAGCGGCGGTGAAAAACATGAGGGAAGCAACCGAGCGCAATCGAAATAATCGTTCATAATCGATTCAATCACGTTGCGACCACGTAATAACTGTACTGTAAAATGATGAACGTTCTACCCACGCGCTCTAATTATTTGTTCATTACAAAGTGTCTTACGTGGCATATTTTTAACAAAATCTGTTGATACAAACGAGACTCTTTAGTGACTCATTCCGAAACACGATCTACTAATTACCGTTTCGGGTATAGCGAGCAATCCTTTGTCGTTTTACCAACGCGTGGCAGGTTTAGACACTCGAGTGATCTCTCTGTAAACGACAGCAAACTGCACGGCGATTTATTGCACCTAGCCCGATACATATTCATTGGACGTGTTTGAACGTCAAGTAGTATTCGGGCTCGTCCGGAAAACGCGCCGCGTTGGTGCCACAGCTCGGAAACGAACTTTGAGTGACGAGCTGCCAAGGTCGTAAAAATCGAATAAATGCCTCACCCTGTGGAGAATAAAAAAAAAGACGATCGTCAAACTTGACGACATTAGTTTGCAGACAATCGCCAATAAAGTACAGCTCGCACACTTTTTCGCTGGTTTTTGTCCCCGATCGATCGATCCCTTTGGTATTTCACGTTTCACGTGTTGAAAAAAATAACGTGAAGTACAGAATTTTCGGAGCACGCTGCTCTTTTTCCGAGTAAATATCAAATTGTTAAAATGTCATTTATGGAAGTACACGAGACCAAATTCGATATTTTTGTGCAGCGTCTCCGTTCACCCCGTGACCTACAAATGGGCGTTGGGACATTACGTAATCCGAGACAGTTCGCTTATAGCAAAAGCAATTTATTTCTATTCACTGGGAGTAACTACAGGTTCGAAGAGATTTTGGATCAGAGTATCTATGAATGAGAAATAGGTGGTATTCGAAATAATCTCAAATCTTTTAACTCGAACGATTGGTAAAGTAAACAATTGTTAATACAAAGGAAACATTCTTCATTCGCGAAGGAAGAAACGTTCGTCTGTGAGCTATGTTTACACAGAGATAAACGTAAAGAGACTATCATGAAGTAAGTGTATGACATTCCTAGGATAGTACATGGAGAATTTTCGTACAAGATGAATCATCAAATCCTCCTTACACTTGTTATGCAACAAAGCGTATGTACCCGGCTCAAATGCCGGTTGGCGAAATGAGCGGAACAAGCGTTTTCGTAGTAGAAACGCACGTGCATCTCAAAGGTCCGATGCATACACACTTTTGTATATGTATACACAAGAATCACACATGATGATCTCCCTACCTTGTTCCAGTTAATCCTTCAATTTTACCCCTTTTCCTACTATTTACCGAGAACATATGCTACGACCGCGCATACGAAATAAATATAACGAACAACAGAGAAAAACAAAGAACTCGTACTCACCGCAGACGTTCAGCCAACCTTCGACTCGGCAGGGATACTCCAGTCTCATCGTGAACCACTGCTGCTGAACACCGAGTACCAAGAGTGTATCATGCAAATCGCACAGATCACATAAGAAAACGAATTTGAATGGTCCCGGTAAGTTCGGACGTGTTATCACTGTTAAACAATATCCGCGGCACACATTACTATGGTGCGTTGACGCGGCGACGAGACACAACGATGCGATGAGCGGACGTATGTATTTATACGTATATTATTTTTGACCTCAGCGCGGAAACACACGCGAAAGGAACGATACACGCAGAAATGTTCAAAATATCGTTCTTGCCGGACACGAATCGAACACACTGTCTGGCGTCACGCGCGCGAACCGACAACACGACCCACACACACCGGCGAACAGATCCGAACTAACCGAACGAACCCTCTCTCGTCCTCGTTGAGCCGGAGCCGATCTTCTTTCTCCTTCTCTCTCGTAGCGCCACCCCGTCTCGCTTCTCAGGTAGTGCGCTCATCCTGTGTTGGTATTTTACACAAATTTTATGTAATTAGTCAGATTATATCGCTGATTTGAATTAGTATGTTTCTTAGGTCGTTCTTAACAATTGAGTATCCACGTTTGTTACCTTGCGATCTTCGAAACAATTTATACGCTTTAAAATGAGACCTGACTTTCTGATTCGACTTGTCGAAAATACGAATTCGCCATTTTAGATTTTCAAAGAACTGATAGATTTCAAGTATGTTTATAATAAAATTAAGAAATCAAACCACATTCTAATCTTGTCTAAATATACGTAATTATATCGCTTAGTTTACTTCGCGATTTGGCGATTCCACGATTGTATTCGTAACTATCACACGTATTAAACAATTCTAAACGCGATAGTGTATTTCGGTTAATAATTAACATCTTGACTTTACGTAATTTCGTCAATCTCAAGTAAAATGTTGCAATATTCATAAATATTTATGATATTCATCACGATCACTTTGACTTCTTGTACCTGACTAATTTAATAATGTAAATAAAAGAAACTTTATCAGCGCTTACAGTGCACAGCTTAGTCAGCAGTAGTCAGTCGTCAGTAGTGACGGTCCAGCTTCATCGACTCGAATGAAGCTCGGTTACTATAGATGATCATGGAGAAGATGATTTTAAAATTATCTTGTTCTTCGTTCCTAAACGCCACCTGGTGACCAGATTTATAGTCAGTCACCAGCAAAATGGCGCTCAAGGCACAAGTCGGTCAGAGTGAGTAACAAAAAATAACGTAGTTTTTCACGATATAAGAAAAATTTTGAATGTCTTTCGTATTACAATACGAAAGAAATATCGTAGATTCATTTTACAAGAAAGTTTTACAGCACATGCCACTGACAGAACGTGTAACCTCTAGAGGGGCGTATGTGCTGTGATGACTTCATCGTTTACGTAGTGACTGCTAGGCACAAATGTCAAATTCGTTTTAAAGATTTGCTACTTGTAAATTTTTCAGAAAGAAACTAGCTATGCCATTTTAATAACATAACGCACAAAAGCATACGCTTATGAAGCTGTCAATTTATTAATTGTAGACATTTACTTTATGGACATTCTATCTTACAGTAAATAGTCATAATGTATCGAGTTAATTCTTATTTGTGGTGCAAATACACATTAGAGTATATTTGTCTTCTTCAGAAACGTATCCTTTCGTAAAGTAATTTTGCATAAGTATTTGTAAGTCCTAAATTACAAGCAAAATGAAAATTAATAGCGTTATTAAAATAACCTTTAAACATAACGTAATTTTTAATGTATTTTAGCATACAAATTGAAAAATTGGGTTTCGTCTAGAAGATTCTAAAGTAGATGAACAATATATATGTATATCTTCTAATTTCTTGATTGATGCTTTAAGTTTTTTGCAAATCACATTATTGAACAAATCATTAACTGCAGAAATAATATTTGTCATCGAACAAGTAAAAAGCATATGTTATATTTAGATAAATGTTGTGATACATTTTACCAAATATTAGCACTAATTAATACACATTACGAAATATCATAACATTATATCATGGATATAAGTCTATATCAAATAATCCAATTAGTAAATCATTACACAGAACGATTTGTGCATAACAATGAAATTTCGATCATTAATGATCTTCATCTCTGTAGATGATTAAAAGTCATTGATTCATATCCTATCTTTTTTATATTTTATTCGTAACGGGGCTCCTTATTCGACAGATGCGATCCTGACTAGGGTGACGTCATTGCTTCATAAGAACGATCAATACACATTGAGAGCGCGAAAAATGCTCGATTTTAAATCCATAAATCACGATCGCATACAAAATTATATAATCATTTTAACAAGCAAGTCTTACATGCTGACGCTTTGTATTGTTACTTGTATCAATATAATTTATGTACCACATTCTTATCATAATTGTAAATATATGACAATCATTGATTCATGTGGATTGAGAAATGAATTAAAATGATGATCCAATATTTCTTCAGTCATAGATAAGATATTGATGTTATAAAACTAATATGATATGCAATGCATCTTACAGAGATTATGAATGAAGTCATCAAACAAAAGAAACCGGGAACTGGTGGCCAATGGCGAATTTTGGTGGTCGATCAACTGGCTATGAGGATGGTGTCAGCGTGCTGCAAGATGCACGATATTAGCGCGCAAGGCATCACCTTGGTAGAAGACATCAACAAGAAACGGGAACCTCTGCCAACGATGGAGGCGATTTATCTGATTACACCCTGCAATCCCTCCATCCAAAAATTGATCGAAGACTTCAACAATCCGACTAGGACCACTTACAAGGTTGCCCACGTTTACTTCACGGAAGGTACGTTGTACATCGTATCTTCCTGTTAGATTATTACAGACGTCTGCATAAGGAAGTCTGTTATTCGAAAAACTTATCTCCATCCTTCACTCACACTTATTGGCATTAATAATGCCAAATAAAGTAAAACTACCCTCTTAGATAGTCCTTTGAATTTTTATTTGATTTTACACTTTTAACAAACAGGAAATAATAAAGAAATTTTACAAGAATGGCCAGCCTGCTACTTTCGATGATAATATAATCCACGTGACATTTTAAGTGTATCTCTTTACAGCGTGTCCCGATGAGTTGTTCAAAGAATTGTGTCACTCGCTGGTAGCTAAACGTATAAAGACACTAAAAGAGATCAACATCGCTTTCATACCATATGAGGAACAGGTAAAGCAAAGGAAACTGTAACAGCGATATCAAATGTCTGATAAACGTCACGTTCTCCACGGTGGCGGTCACATGTTCGCACACGTATATACACAAAATACACATATGTTACATACAGCCCTTTACAACATACACATAACAGAGACCTATCTATCCACTCCGTTAATTCACAAGCCTACCTTTTAATTTTTCAAACAGCGGTCACAACAAGTGTTAACACGATCTTTCGACTTTGTCCCCTATTGCTCCCCTATTTTGTACGATACACACATATAAAGCACGTACTAACGACGGAATGCGTTCATGCTTGCACGCGACCAGTGTGTCCGGAGGAGCTGTTCAATGAACTCTGCAAGTCTCTCGCCGCTAAAAAGATCAAAACCCTGAAAGAGATCAACATCGCTTTCCTGCCTTACGAGTCGCAGGTGATGATTAAGAAATGAAACAGTCGTAGCTGCTAATAGTAGTTGCAAATCGCGATTAGCAATACTAGTTTCAATTTTCTAAGTTTTCGTAAACGAAATTATCTTTCAGTTCTTTAGTTTACGGAGTAGAATATAGGCGAAAGACTTCTGTATTTATTACCGTTTACATGTTTGTAATTGTTTTTCCTTTTCGATTAAATGAATTATATTTTTCGTCGCATGATCTGTCCTCTTGTCTATCATTATTCTAGTAACTATGTTTCTTTTGTCCGTATATCTTATATGTTATCCGCTCTAATTATATACACTGCTTCGAGCATAAAAATGTAAATATAGATGGAAATGTAACGATTGGCACGAAAGTGATAGAACAATTACATAAATTAACAGGTTTTCTCTCTGGACTCGCGTGAAACGTTTGCTTGCTTTTATAATCCTTCCTTTGCCAACTTGAGAACAGCCAATATGGAAAGAATAGCTGAACAAATCGCAACACTTTGTGCTACTCTTGGAGAATATCCATCAGTCAGATACCGAAGGTACAAAATGAGAAATCTACAAATGAAATTTGAAATCAGTAACTTAATTGCAAAACTTTATCGTGATCTTGTTTATTGATACATTTTACATCCACAGCGATTTTGACCGAAATGTGGAACTGGCGCACATGGTGCAACAAAAGTTAGATGCTTACAAAGCAGACGAGCCGACAATGGGTGAGGGGCCTGAGAAAGCTCGTTCTCAGTTACTTATCCTAGACAGAGGATTTGATTGTGTTTCACCATTATTACATGAATTGACACTACAATCTATGGCATATGATCTGTTAGACATTGAAAATGATGTTTACAGGTATGTACGACAGTTCACTATAAATAATTAATTTTTAGTGATATTCTATTATGTATTATTTGTTCAAAGATTTGAAGCATCAGCCGGCGTACAGAAAGAAGTATTATTGGATGAAAATGACGATCTATGGGTAGATCTTAGACACGAGCATATTGCCGTAGTTTCACAGTAAGTAAAATAATAATCAAAGAAGGTGATAAGAAAACTGCGATGATTATATTTACAAAATACGTTTATAAAATTTGATTCTAGGAATGTTACTAAAAATTTGAAGAAATTCACAGAGTCTAAAAGAATGCCGCAAGGAGATAAACAAAGTATGAGGGACCTATCACAAATGATAAAAAAAATGCCGCAGTACCAGAAGGAATTGAGTAAATATGCCACGCATTTACAATTAGCCGAAGATTGTATGAAACGTTATCAAGGAAATGTAGATAAACTGTGTAAGGTAGAACAAGTACGTTTATGACACTCGCTCTCACATTATCATTTTATTAAATCGTTTATTAAAAGTGACGTCTTCAATATATTTAATGTTTCGCGTTTTACAAGGATTTAGCTATGGGTACTGATGCCGAAGGAGAACGTATCAAGGATCAGATGAAAAATATTACTCCGATCTTACTCGACCAAAACATAAATCATTTAGACAAATTACGAATTATTGCGTTATATGTCATTAGTAAAAATGGTATTACCGATGAAAATCTTAATCGCCTAGTTAATCATGCGCAAATAAGTCAGGATGACAAACAAACCATAATAAACATAGCAAACCTTGGTCTCAACATTGTTGTAGACGTAAGTATTTTACTTTCACGGTTATATTAAATTTTTTCACTGTAAACTGATTTTTCAAGCATGCGCTTATGTTCATAGGGAAGTAATCGTAAGAAAGTGTATGTCATGCCGCGTAAAGAAAGAATATCGGAGCAAACTTATCAGATGAGTCGTTGGACACCGCTTATGAAAGATATTATGGAAGAAGCTATTGAGGACAAGCTTGATCCTAAACACTTCCCATTTTTAGCAGGACGTGCGGCAAGTTCGGGATATCATGCACCAACCAGGTATGATTGAAACGTATATTTAAATCAAACTTGGTCTCGGGGCACTCCTGTGTCCCTTGATATTTACAATAGTGCATGACATTTGTAAAATCTTTTACTGTATTTCGTTTGTAGTGCAAGATATGGACACTGGCACAAGGATAAGGGATCACAAACTATTAAGAACGTACCGCGATTAATCGTATTCGTCGTTGGTGGTGTATGCTTTTCCGAAATACGGTGCGCCTATGAAGTTACAAATGCTATGAAAAATTGGGAAGTTATAATTGGTACGTGTACATTTAAATATGTTGTTTAGTGCGAGTTCATTTCGAGATTAATTTGTAATTTTATTACAGGTTCTTCGCATATAATTACACCAAAATCGTTCTTAGAGGATCTAAGCAAACTTCACGTATAAGGGGCCACGTGTGTTGTAAAGAAAATAAAGGCACATTCCCGCATTCCTAACATGCCATTAGCTTTGGCTCCGTCAGTAATAGCAATTACACGAAATTCAATGAACGATCTCAATTTAAAGTATAAAATATAAAGTAAGGAAAAAACACAGTCAATTGTTTAAGTCGCATAGTTAGCTGGCCTCAAATTGAAGAGAAACATTGGTGAATGTCATATCATAAATATTTGGCTGAAATGTGAATAGCGCCAGAATGAATAAGATGTTCAGTGTCAAATGCCTGCGCGGATGAAAAAAATATATGAAGTTGATTAAACTTATTGGCAATACTGATATAAATCGCACGGAGGTGCTTAATGGTAACTTAGGTACGCGAATGATATAGCTCCAGATATCATATGTTATTCTATGTCATATTACCACCTTGTTAATAATAAGTGATACGTTAGGAATGAAATTTAATGTACCGTAGTGGAAAACCGTGATATTCGTGTAAATTGCTCGCTACTGATATTTCATTTTATTACGGCCCATAAACGACCGACTGTTCTACTATTATACAGTGTTTAGTGCTCGATTTCGATCTCGATATCGGCATTGTCTCTTCAATTGACGTAATGATTTGTATCATAACACAGATTCGTGTACGGCTTACTCATATTAATTTCAGTTAAATATATGATTTTAAATGAGTATATATATATAAAATAATATATACTTATTTATTTCACGAACGTTTAAATGATAGATGTACATTTCGTTATTTATAATAATTTTGTTATGTCGACTTGTTGCTATACAATTGTATTTACGTAGCACTAAAATACATATAGGACGCAACTCATATCTTATGTTAAAGTGCGCATTTACATCAATATGAAAAATGTCCAACTACTAAAGACTTATACTTGTTAAATGTGAAGTAAAATCTTTGTTGATAAGTACTTACGTGTTGAAACTTCTGCTGCACGCGGAAAACAAGATCGTAGATCTCTTTCGATCAGTGGAAGTTAGCCTGTTAATGATCGTAACAATTATTCATCGTACGTTATTTAAATGCGATTATTTGGCGGCGAAATTATTAAAAAGTTTACAGTATTTATTATTATATTTAATATATGAATATATATATATATATGTATGTAGATTGTAGTTCAAAGAAAATGTTCTGCTTATAAAGGCCTACAGTTTGCTTCAATTTTAGTTATTTTTTGTGCATGCACCATACACCGCACGCATAATATTAATGTTTTACAATTATGAAGAATTAATGAGAATTATCAGGAATCAAAACTAATATTTAATAAATTAAATACAACATATAAATTTGAACAAACGTTTGTGTAATTATTGAAAGTGTTCTCTTATCTATTATTCTCAATAGTTTCATTTGATTCATTTGGAAATTGTATAGCGGAATGATAAGTTCCTTTAATAGGGCGAGGTGGTAATGAAAATACCAGCAGGATTACTTTCAATTAGTTATTAATAATTAAACCTTAGCATATTTATAGTGATTATAATAACGTATAATATGCATCGTTTTTATCTGCATTAATAGTATACACAATGATATTTCTTATTCACTCTAATAGATCCGCAACATAAGAGAAAACGTCAAACATGATAATAATAATTCAGTTAGTATTTTCTCTATCAATGACTATATAATACTCTTTCACTCGATCTCACTCTTTCGCTCTTTCTTTCTCCCCTCTCTATTTATATTTATTTATATATTTATAATTTTTATGTATATGTATATGTAACATGCAAAATTATATAAACTAAGAAAGGTAATTCTGTATTTATCAATAGTTAATAACCTGCAGTAACTCTGTATTCACATTTGTCTCAGTAACAGTAATTCAAATATGTAATAAGGTCTCTTTCTTTTTTAGGGATTAATAAGAGAACAAACAGTATAATTCAATTTGACATTGTTAAGTAAATCGAGGTCCGAATAGAACGCAGTGGTTTACTTATATTTGAGATTTTACATTAACCAGTTTGTTATCCTTTGAATAAATATAATTTAAAATACATTCAAGAACTATTTTTGAAAGTGCTACTGATTTCAAAACGCAACAATTTCACGTAAACGTAAACGATTGAGAAAAATATACAGAGATGACATAGTCTAAGTCTCGGATAGTTTTCTTTTTCTTTTGAATTCTTTGAACGTTTGTGGATCGCATAAAATACGGGAAAAATGAGAAAGGTTTCTCTTGGAATAACACGATACAGTGGAAGTCAAGGGTATAAGCGTGCGAGCAAACTTGGCCTAGTAAACAAATTCTCTCTTACTTAACAACATCAAGCATTTCTTTATTTTAGCCATTTATTCTTCATTTCATCATTATTATTTATGTACAACCAGCTGAATGTTCTGCTATCGTTAGTCGTAATAAGTCTACTAAAACTCATGTGCCATTGGAGATGATGTGCGCCCGTGGGAACTTATATAAAAAATTATTTTTTGATACAGCAGAGTGATTTTGGTGTTACTTACGAATTATTACGTCTTTACCTAATAACTTATACTGAGATCTAGTAGGTTATACAATCTATCGGCCTCCCTTAAATATTACAAACCTTATCACATATATAGAGGTGTGTATTAGTACTTATTACCTTTTTTTATACATAGATATCTGTATATTCTGTTTGAAATTGCTGCCAATGATTTTCATTTTGTATGTACAATTAGAAATCACGTATTATACAATTATCATACCTAAACACACGCATTCTCTACTTTCTTTCCATGTTCACTCATTCCTATGTCCATTTTTATTCTCTCTTACTATTTCTCAAACTCTCTTTGTTAATCTTTTCCTTTTTAATATCTCTCCGTTTTTTCTCTTCTTCACCCTTTTAGAATTCGTGCCACTATTGAGCTCGTTATTTCTTTTATTACGCAACGTAATTTTATAATCGAAGGAGTTCTTTCAAATATTTGAAGACACTTGCGATTGGTCAGTCTAATGATACAATATCGTTTAAAGACAAACCAAAACATACGATATTACTTTGTCATCTAGCGCGGTATCCTGAGCAAAATAGTCCTATTTATTAGCGAGAACGCTTGGGATACCAAGAATCAAACAAATAGAAAGATATACACATAGGGAACGACGTTAAAAGCGTTTGCTGGAAGGTGAAACACGTACTCGTAGTACATGAAAAGTATTCAAATTATTGCAAACGATTTTCTCCTCGACAGAATATCATGCGTTTGATAATTCTCGACAGAAAAAAATCGATTGCTTTATTAAACGTGACGCGACGTTTCTTATTTTTTTACACACTTTCTAATACTTTATATTGTATGTTAAATTTCGCTATAGCATAACACCCATCGTACTCGAATATCAAATATATCGAATTTGCAATTAAATATGCCGATACATACGTTTCTTAAGAATCTTGCCCGATTATCAATGATCAACGTTCACAAACGGAAACTGCACGCTCATTATAGTCATTCTTAAACTCGAATCAACTTACGTTTACGACAATTCCATTATCTTCTCTACCGACGTTTTGTATCGAAAGAACACTGTTCGATTTAGGAGAACAAAATACCATGATCCCTCGCTCGCTCCTGTCGCGCAATGTACACGAATGACACCCTCGCAGGAAATTGTCTTACCGCATTAAGTGCACACAACAACAATTAACATATGCATGATTAAATCATTGTACATGCTAAGCCGTGAGCGATCAGCGTCATGAAATTGATTGTTTGAAAGTCGAGAGTCCAAGATTTGATCGTAAAAATCTTGAATTTTGATTAGGAAACATCCACTGAATAAGTGGGCATCTCTTAGATGCATATGTAAATAAACAGATCGTAAGTTAGATAGTCTACTTGTATTGCTAGAATTAGTATTGACGATCAGCAAGTGCGTGATCGTATTGATATGAAAACGCATATATAATATAAAGACCATTTCACGATTGGGTGTTTTCGTCGTATTTATAGCGTATTTATAATCGGCGACGGTCCTTCGCTCATCTCCGATACACTTAACAAAGGAAAGATCAGGATTGCGAACACCAGCGCAAATGCGCGTTAATATTTCCTTCTTTTAAGTCACTTGAATTCTCTTCTCTTGCGAGCCTGTATTCTTGCGCGATGCTCAGCCTGTCGTGGACAGTGACATGCACAAATATTTGTCCTTTTTACATCGAGTACTTAGTTTACGTCCTTTCAGTCGACGATACACCTTATGCTTAAAATCCCAAATTCTTTTTTCCTTGACCGATCATAATCTATGTCTATACAACTAGAACAAATCATACACACGCACGCATGCAATTAACGTTGGTTTACAAACGCAGACACTAACTTCGTAATCTTCGGCATTGATACACGTCTCCTACATTTTCCTGCTCGTTATCTTAACAAAGTTTCCTCTGGCGATGATTTCGAGGTACGTTCTGAATGAATGTATGTTCGAAAAAACTGAATGACCGTATCAAACCAATCTATAATTCGTAACGAAATCAGATATAAAACATACAATAATGAATTGCTTGTATACACTGTAATGTCATTAAAACCATTTGTCATTGAGGGTTATTATCGTAATTGGAACGCGCGTCAGAAAATGTTTCGTCGGAGTTCTTTCGTATAGATTCAAGATTCGTTTCCCTCTCTTCCGTCGATCGTGTCTTTCGGCAAATAAATTCGTTTTAAAAATTTTTTACATTGTGTATTTGACACGACCGACATCGAAAGCGGCTTTTTTTCCATCAGAAACGCCAAACTTTGTGGGGTTCCTTTAAAACAAAGTTATGCGATACGCTATGTAACAGATTATATCGAAATAAACGCAGAATAAATAAAATTAAACGCTACGCATTAATGATCTACTATAAATATCGAAAAAGTTTCGTCTTTTGACAAAACAAAAACAACGATTATTCTACATCAAAGTGAATCCCTTACGCGACGATCTTACGAACATCGTATTATCTAGTATGTACATTATTCTGATTATTCTTTGAGGCCGACCCGTCCAGCGAAGAAGTTACACGGCACTGTTTAATTCTCCAGCGTTCATTATTAAGAAAGCTGAGAATCGGGACTTGAAATGTTCGATGCAGAATGTGAAACTCATGAAACTATGAACATCATTCTCACATTGATGTCGTATGTCAGAATTCGATTGGCATCATGGTTACGTTGAATAAAGTTGAAAGGAAACTATATGCGGAACGTGTACCAGCTTGAAGACAGGTCTGGCTTAAGATCTCTGTATCGTTTGCGGCTGTAAAGTTATGTCTTCTTAATGTCACGTAAAAAGGAACATGTGTGGCTACAAAAACAATAAATTCCATTGAAGTAAAAAAAAAATTTATCATGATTTATTAATGCCACAAACGACTCGCTTCAGCGTAGCGTTTCTTCAAATCCCCAACAAAACTGCACTTGTTATTTTACGATAATAAGAAAGACGTTTCAGGTTTGAAGAGGCTCTTAAAAAAATAAAATCCCATTTA